ATGGTGATCTCCGCTCTTTCCTGTATTAAAACCTCAAATGGAGTATTAAAAGAGTACCTCTTGGTTATGTGTTTTGATCTCATGGCTAGCACGTCTCCTGTCACTAACCTTGAGATACTCATGTGACTTGACCCAATGTCAAGATTTCCCAGTGTATTCCCTAATCTGTAAGCACCTAATCTTGCCTCCTCTTGTATCACATAGTGAAGAGGTGGGAGTCCTATTAGTGCTTCCATTGCAGCAGTGGAGGTTGTTTTCATTGCCCCCGTTATTCCAAGGCAGGCAAGTCTTTGTACCTTGCTTAGCATCGTTATTGCCTTCCTTTGCTGTGTCTTTGGCCACCACACCAAAGCTGCGTATGTTGTTATCGCCTTGTTATCATTAACGAGGTTTCCGCTCTCCTTGTGGTTCTTTCTAGATGCTGGTTCCAGGTAAGTCTCGAGGCAATCATAACCTTGAGATATTTTACCTCCCCCTCAAGCTGGATGCTTGCACCTCTTAAGTTTAGAGGCCCTAGTCCCTCCAATTTCCTTCTGCGGGTGAAAGCAATTATGTCAGATTTGTTTGAGCTAATGTTTAGTCCTTCCGCCTCTGTCCATTTTGTTACTATATTTAGAGCCTCTTGCATTTGATCTCTTACTATAGTGTTGTATTTACCCTGTGCCATGATCACTAGATCATCGGCATATCCCAGGGTTCTATGTCCCTTATCTTTGAGAGCCCTAAGCAGCCCGTCCACTACAAGGTTCCATAGTGGAGACAGCACTCCACCATGCGGACATCCTCTCGCTACCCGCGCCGCTATTGTCTCTCCCATAAAGGTTGTGTGTATAGTTATCTCCCTTAACATAGAGTCGATCCAGGACACGCATGTGTATCTAAATTTTCCTTTCATGCTCCTTAATTTTTGTATGACCGAATTAATATGTAGATCCCATCTTACATATCTATCAACTATTATGCCTAGATATTTAACTGATGTAGCGGCTGGAATCTTAGTAAACTGATCTATTTCTAATGTATCAAAATGAGGTAAATTATTTTCATGTGATATAAATGGCAGTTATTGCGTTTTTTTAATATTTAGAGTAAGAAGATTGTGTTGAAACCATAATTTTATTTTCTTAAAATCCTTTTCTGTTTGACTTTTTAAATCACTCCAATTCGAGTTCTCGTAAAGAATTGCAGTGGCGTCTGCGAAACTCATAATCTTTCCTGTGGTGTTTACTTTCAACAAACTATTTATATATAAAAGGAATAATAATGGGCCCAATACTGTGCCTTGAGGAACACCACAAGAGACCAATTCAGGCTCACTGGCGACACTATCAATTTCCACATATTGGACTTGTCCCGAAAGATGACTTGATATTAATTCAAACACTTTACCTCTTAATCCATATGACCTTATTTTCTCAAGAAGTTTCACATGAGAGACCGTATCAAAAGCTTTTGACAAGTTCACAAATATACATAAACTTGGCGTATTTGTATCTTATTTTTGGTGTACATAAGAAGTTAGCGCATAGATTGCGTCTTCTGTGGATTTACCTACCCTAAAGCCATATTGACATTGTGAAATTAAATCATGTGTATCTAAAAAATTTACGATTCTCTTTTTAAGAACTTTCTCAACAACCTTTGCTATATTTGATATCAGTGAAATGGGTCTATAGTTTGACATCTTTGAATTACTTCCTTTTTTATGTAACGGTTTAACAATACCTACCTTAAAAAAATTTGGGAAACAACCTGCAGCCATGCAATTATTAAGTAAGTCAAAGGTGTTGAAACTTCTTCACATATGTTTTTTAGGGTCTCAGATCTAATTTTATCATGTCCTGGTAAATTTTTAATCTTTAGTTCATTGATCAAATTTTTTATTTCAGATTTTGTTGCAAGATGTAGATACATTGAATTACATAAATTTATGCTTTCTGTAAAATTCTCTTGAAAATCATTTACTTGAGGTATTTCTGATGCTAGTATTTTACCAATGTTACTAAAATATGTATTTAAATTATTAGCCTTTTCTATTTTCTCTGTTATTGTAACTCCATTTGATAATTTAATCTTTTCTATTTTTGTTTTGGGTTTAAGGTAATTGCAAGCCTCGTTTACTGTATCCCAAAGTGCCTTCGATTTATTTTTACTTTCTTCAATATTATTTTAAAAATACTTTTTTTTTGAAAAGTGAATTAAATTTTTTGTGTGCTGTTTTAAGTAATTATATCTACTTTTCAATTCCGTATCGTAAGTTTTTTTTATTATTGCTTTCGTAAAATATTTGTATTTTTGTGTATATATTTATTTATTGTATGAATGAAATAATTTGCCATATTATTTGGATCGTTATTTTGTTACAGATAGGTCCAATTTTCATTCTGAAGGTCCAATTTTAAAGTTTTGTAATTCATGTAATTTTTTTCATTAACTCTTGTTAAAACTATTTCTTTTTATTACTATTTTCAATTTGAAAAAATATGGAAGTTAATGAATGATCTGTAATATCTGTGTGGAAGATGTATGATTTAATTAAATCTTTGTTATAAAGAATTTAACTTCGAATATAAAAATGGTCCAGACAAGTTTTGGATTGAAGTCTAGTTGGTTTGTTTATATACGAAATATATCCAAATGAACTCAATATATTTTTATATTTAACAACATATCTTTTATCTGATAATATATTCATGTTTATATCACCAGCAAAAATATGCATATAATCGATTTGATATTTTTTCAGAAAATTTGATAAATTTTCATTAAAACTATATACACATGTATTCGGAGATCTATACAGGGTGTTAAAAAAAAAGTGTCACAAAATGAAATGGTGAATAGTATGACCCAAAATAAGCAGAAAAGTCTTAATAAATATATGACCGCAAATTAACGGTTTCGGAGATACGGACCATTTTGTGTTTATAACAATTTTTTATTATTATAAAAAAACAATGATATTTATAAACAATCAATAACAACATAGAGTTAAATGAGATGTTCAAAGTGCTCTCCCTTCATTTCAATGCAGCTACGACATCTCCTCCGAAAGGACTGTCGGACTCTTTCCAAAACACCCTCATTGGCTAGGATTCGATCACATCCCTGCTCTATTCGTTGCTGCAGCTCTTCGAGGTTATTCACAGGAGTGGCGTACACTAAATTTTTTAAGTGTCCTCAAAGAAAAAAGTCAAGCGGATTTAAATCAGGCGATCTTGCAGGCCATGGCACAGGTCCGCCCCTTCCTATCCATCTTCGACCAAAGGATCCGTCTAAATGTTCTCTTACGGCAACTGAAAAATGCGCCGGAGCACCATCTTGCTGGAACCACATTTGATTTCTTTGTATTAAAGGAATGTCATCTAAAAGATCACCCAATGTGTTCTGCAAAAAGTTTAAATAGTCAGCTCCCGTTAATCGGTTAGGTAGTACAATCGGACCTAGTAACCAGTCGCCATAAATACCCATCCAAATGTTTAATGAAAAACGAACTTGATGCCTGGACGATACTATGGGGATTTTCGTCGGCCCACATATGCAAATTATGGAAATTAAAAACTCCATTTCATGTAAACCCTGCCTCATCAGTAAAAAGAATTAGTGCAATAAAATTGGGATCCTCAGCATCATTTCTCAGAAACCATCGACAAAACTCCAAACGTGCTTGATAATCAGGTGCATTCAGAGCTTGCACTCGTTGAAGATGGTACGGGTAAAGCTGCTGCTCGTGGAGGATTCTCCAAACCAGAGGATCCCCAATTCCTACCTCCGCTGATATTCTTCGCACACTAGTTTCTGGATTCTCTTCTACTCGTGCTAAAATTGCTTCTTCTGCCTCAGGGGTGGACACCGACCTTGGTCTCCCGGAATCATGTGACTGTTTCCCAAATTTACCTGTATCACGCAATCTTTGGTGCAATCTACCAAACACACGAACTGAAGGGATGTGGCGATTAGGGAAAGCGTCGATATACTGACGTAGCGCTTCCCTCGCATTGCCATTTGCACGACCGTACATAAAATGCATATCAGCTAATTCAATATTAGTGTAAACAGGCATAACGGAAATTTATAAAATTATTCACCCACAACAAAATAATAACTGCAAATAGTATCTATGAAAAAACATAGGTAGACTCCGATAAGAAAAGCAAGTTTTTGAGAATGAAAAAAGATAATCAAAAAATGATACAAAACACAAAACACTCCGTATCTCTGAAACCATTCATTTGCGGACATATGTTTATTAAGACTTTTCTGCATATTTTGGCCCATACTACCCCCCGTTTTATTTTGTGACACTTTTTTTTTAACACCCTGTATAGGGCACTTAAGGTAATTATTTTATTGTTGTGTTTAAAAGACACATTTAATGTTTTTATGTTAAATAATCTTACGATCTTATAATTATATTCGATGTTTGATTTAATATAATATGATAATACCATCATTTCTGTTCCTATCACCGTGATTATATAATATATCGAAACCAGCAATAGAAAAAGCATTAAGATCGTAGTTTTTGAAATATATTTCTGTTAAGACTAGTATATCAATATACATTTTAAACTGTTGTAGAAGTATTGACAATTCATCCCAATTTTTTTCTATACTATTAATATTCATATGGAAAATTTTAATTGAATTAACATTTGGTTCACTGCATGTATTTGAATTAAACAAATTAATGTTATCGATTGTCTGTGTGTCTACTGGATTATCGCTATATTGCTTTATATAAGAATCCATAATCTTATGCTTATTAGTATCTAATGATTAATTTCCAAATATACTTAAGTTAATTAATGGCAATAATTACACAGCTAGATGACACAATAAGTACCAAATTGGAAAAAAGAAATAAAATATAATATAAACATGAACCTAAATATAAGCAATGGCAGTATTTTATTTTATAATTGTATTTCGTCTTGGTCGTCTACTAGTGTTGCCAGTAGATGAATTATTTGATGAGGTTGAGTTGCTTCTTAATTTACTCTTCTTATCTTCAATCTTCTTTAAATCTTTCTTATCGTTCTCTTTATGTTCCTCTGTTTCTTTTTCTTTGCTTTCTACTTTCTCGACTTCCTCTTGTCCTTGGTGGTCTTGTATTTTTTCATTTACTGGGCTTTCGCTTATTTCGTTTGTATCCGCAATGTTTTTTCCGTTTGTGACAATAGCTGGTGTTGGTAATCTAATTATATATAAATTGTCCTTATAATAGGTTAAATTACTTGCAGGAGTTTCAGGTGCAGTGTTGGGTCTACATCTTTCGATTGCGGGAGGGGTAGTTGGATGATTGTTACATAACATATTTTCAGCCTGCTCCATTTTTCTTAAAGCATCCAAAGATTGACGATTAAAGTTCAACCCTTTATTTTTGCAAAGTAGTTGTGAGATCAAGCGTTATTTAGATGTTTCCTTAGTATTTTAGTATCTTGTCTGTCCTGGTACGATAAATCTTGAGTAAAGTATATGTCTGTACCTTTGAGTTTGCTACAGTTTTTTAAATAAGATTCTTTTTTAAACAGGACAAAAATTCAATTTTTAATGCACTACTGTTTCCAGTTTTTATTGGATAAATATTATTTATTTCATTGATAGTTACATCCAGATCCAATAACTCTTTAATTTTTTCCAAAACGATATTAACTAAGTCTACATTTTCTTCTATTTTAAGACCAATAATTAAAATATTAATTTTTCGTAATTGCCTGTCGTGTATGCTATTAAATTCGATCTGTTGATATTTTTGTTCAAGCTTATCTATCCTATTTAAACATGAATCAATTTTCTCAATAATTTTTTTATTTTCTGTTTGAATTTCTTGTTTTAATCCGTTTCTAATTTGTTCTCCTTCTCTTTTAATTACATTTAAATTTTTCTGTAGCAGTTCAGAATTTGTTATGTCTTTTTTACCCATTAATTTAACATTTTAGAATTAAGTTTTATAAAATTATTAAAATTCAGAAATTTGTATCCAAATTCCTACTTTCGTCTGCCACTGGTGTAAATGAAGGTAATATTTCTATTCGGTTTAAAAGACAGTATCTCTGAATATTAGTTTTTTGCAGTACATGGAACAGTACATTGATTTTTATTTTTTATTTTTAATGAAACGTTCCATTTTTACCGAAAATTTTAATTTGTCAACAATCGTTGGAAAATCAAAATAACTTACAAATACTTTTTTAATATTATATTATTGATAATTATTATTTTTCAATAGAATTTTGATACTTTCTATACGATTCTTAATTAAAAATATCTATCAAAATCTGAAATTGATTTGCTGTTATTTTCGGAAAAGAGAACAACTTGGATAAAACCCTTCATACTCTCGAACAAAGTGTATGTCATGGACATATTTTCTGTTGTTTATTTTTTAAATATAAAAGTCAGTGCTTTAAATAAAACATTAACTTATTATATTTAACAAAAATAATGCCATATAAATAAAAAGTTTTTTGGTTTAGTCGGTCATGTAGTTTTTATTTTTTATAATTTATGCACAAGCACTACATATGTTTCGGAATATTTTTTCATCTTCTGGTGTAGTAAATATGTGATATAAAACATGGGGGACGATTACAAACAGCTTAAAATTTTTAAAATAACAGAAACCCTATCTTTTGGTTTCAGAGTGTTGGTTTGGTTGCATAAATAGCTATTTTGTAACTTTACATCTATGTAAAGAATAATCATTTTTTAAACAAAAAATCATTATATGGGCTAAAAAAATCTACCGAAACTAATTTTAATAAATTCGCACTTATTTTTATTTTAAAAAACATTTTTCTTCCCTCGTACATGGCAGACACTATAATATGGTACTCTTTCATAATAATTATTTAGATGGTGAGTGGAACTGTACACCAATAGACTCCCAAGCTATATGGTTATGGGTATATCGTGGCTATCCCTTTGGTATTCACTATCAGAACCTATTATCTATGAAAAGGCTTCCCTTTGTAGCTATGTGCTTTTGCTTTCATAATAAGTAATCAGAAATAGAATCAACAATTCGATGAACTGGCTCGCCGACTATCATCCGATAAATCTTCCTTCTTCCTTCATTTCACTCTGCCACTTTGGATTGAAGGAACAGAAAAAAAAATGAAAGTTATGTTTGTCCTTTCACATTATTGTCCCATTACCAACAGCGACAGGCTATTAGTCAACCGAGGTGTAATTCCCATTTTATCATTTTTTATGCCATTAAAGCTTTTTTGCTTATTGTGGAGCTAAAATAATTAATTTTTTACACTTATAAATCCGTCTTATTTTCATTGCCTTCGGTTGGGACTTAAGTGAAAAAGTCATATCCAAGAGGCTGGAAAAATGGTTTTCTTTTGTTTAGAGTTATATAATGTAGCTATTGCAAAATATATCCTTAAATATTTATTATTTGATAATATATTCTAAAGTTAGATGGTACGTCGTCATCGGACCGTTAAGTAAGGGGTCATAGTACCTCTATTTTATATAAAGAGTGTCCCTGAAAGCTCTGTACAGAACGCTAGCACAAATTCATTAGCCTAAAATATGAGGATCTAGCCCAATTTGCCTTAGTCAAAAAGTTTAAAGTGTCCAAATTACATGGTGTCAACGTTATAATTTTGTTATACTTTTTTGTGAATATTTTTCTTAATAATGACATGATTTGCACAAAATCGAAGTGTGATCATAGTTTTGATGTAAATTATAGAGGACGCCACCAGCAGCACAATTTGCCTGCGTCTTAAGCTTTATAACTTTTTTTGTGCATTGGTATATTAAATTCTTAGATAAAAATTCTGATTCCTTGACATAATCTGTCCAAAAAAGGTATACCTAGTAGGTGTCACTACGTAGCCATTTCTGACAGAACCACTGCTTTCCTACACTTTGAGATTTAAAAATAAATATTTTTCAGTTTACAATCCATAGGAATTAATATTAAATTAGGTACTATATTTTCTCTGAAACATTACGTAAACTTCGTAAATGTACTAACAATTCATTGGTGTAATGTGTAAACGCACGCACGCACCCATGATAAAATTAATTGTGTAAACACACACACACACACCATATACTTCAAGTCCGTCGGCGGAAGCGCGTCTTGAAAAAGTCGGCTCATCGTTCAGTTGATTTCGTTTGAACAGGTGAAATACGGTAGAGAGGCAGCGATTTTTACGTCGCCTTACGCATATTGCAATTCACACCGCAAATCGACGTGTGAGGAAAATCGTAGACTTCAGATAGATTTCGGTGTGTTTTTCGTAGTTGTTTTTCTTTTTGTAAAATGGAGGAACTATGCACTGTGCCTGTGAACAATATTAATGTGGTAAATTGTGTCTGTATTGTGTGCTCTTTATTGAAAAAAGGATTTTCAAGTAGAAATTTTGAAGAGAAAACGGACATTATTAATTCTACTGGACTAAAGGCTCTAGGAGACGAAAGTAGAAAAGTCAGCAAAGAAATTTACCATGCATTTTCACGTAGGGTTCTATGAAAAGTATGAATGGTTAACCGGCTGCAAAACTTTGAAGAAATTGTTTTGCTGGCTTTGTCTACTTTTTAATATAGCCGAAAAATACATTGGAACTCAGTCGGTATTACAGACTTAAATAATTTTCACAAAAGTGTAAAATGACATGTAAATAGCCAATCTCATATAAGTGCTACAATTAAAAAAAACATTCGGGACCTATCGCATTGAACATAGTTTGGACAATCATTTAAAAATAAGCAAAAAAATTCACAATGAAAGGGTAAAAAAATAGGGACGTCTTACAACGATTAATAGATGTAACTTGTTTCCTGGGAGAGCATGAACTACGTTTTAGGGGTCACAATGTAGCAAGTGGATCCGCCAATCGAGGAAATTACATGTATCTTCTAAGTTTTTTTAGAATAATACGGTGATACCCTAAAAAATAATTTTATTGATTCGACTACTTTCCGAGGTACCTCAAACAGAATTCAAAATGATTTAATTAAATGCACTGCCGACGTTGTGATGGATCACATTAAAAGTGAAATTAAAAAAGCACCTTTCGTGTCAATTGCGCTCGATGAAACCACAGATGTAGCAAACTTAAGTCAATTATCCATTGTTGTGCGATATGTATTGGACGACATTCCTCAAGAGCGATTCTTAGGATTTTTGGACGTCACTAGCGAACGAACTGCAGATGCATTATTTAAAATTGTTTGTGACATTAGGTATTTCAAGTTTAGAATGTATTTCTACGCTTGTTGAACAGAGCTACGATGGTGCTGCAGTAATGGCTGGCCATTTAGGAGGCCTTTAAGCTAAAGTGAAAGAGAAGTTTAAACATGCAATTTTAGTTTACTGTATAGCACATAGACTTAATTAGGTTTTATCGCGAAGCATGGTTAATACTAAAGATTGCAAAGTTTTTTTTTTTCGACGCTTAGTGTTTGGCTTCCTTCTTTTCAAAGTCATCGACAATAACTCGCGCTTTGGACATTCACGTTCAAAAAAGGTTTGCAAAAAATGCTCCGACGCGATGGAACTACAATGGACGTTTAGTGCAAACAGTGTTTCAATACCGTGATTCTTCGATACACTTTTTTCAAGACGTTTGGGATAATAAAGAAACATGGGTTGCTGAAACCGTTACTGCTGCTAATTAAAAGATTTATACGAAATTCAACAAGTAAAGACAGACTCTCTAATTTAGTCCTAATTACCATTGAAAAACAGCTTGTTAAACAGTTATCAGAAAATCCAAAATTTTACGACGATGCTACAGACAAATTTGCAGCCATTGAGGATAGCCGAATAGATCTTAAGTATAAATAAATGTCAACTGCTGTGTCAACTGTGCGAAAAATGCTGAAAGAAATAAAAAAAAACTTCAGTTAAATGTTTTTTTTTTACTTTTAAATAAACCAAGGAAGCTTTTCAATGGTAAGTTTTTTTTATACCTTCTAGTACTAAACTAGGTAATAAAGTTTACGAATACTTCAAAAATCTCAATCTCGAATATCCGTAATACTAAGGAAAAAAGAAGCAAAATTTTGACAAAATGGTGAATGCGCCGCGAAAAATTTTCGCCTGCGGCGCTGTGCTTATTGGCCTGTTGTATTTTTATACAATCGCTTCCTCTTCTAAAAATGTCACTGCACGCCACTAGACAGAACTGAATTTAAATGTTTTATTGCATACTGAAACTCATTGTAGCAACGAGTAAACAATGAAA